TGTACCTAGGTTTTTCGATCCAATCACGATAACCGTACCAATGGTTACTGGTCCACCTAAGATCACTGTACCTACGGTTACAGACCTAACTACCATCACCGAGACTACCGTAATCAATCCAACTACAATAGCCACAGGTACGCTTACCAGTCTAACTACTATCATCTAAGTTACGGTTACCTGCCTAGCTACGATTACTGTAAGTAAAGCTATTGGTGGAACTACGATAAACGTACCTACGGTTACCAGTCCAACTATGATACCGCATTGATAGTTATCAGCGAGATTATATGGCCATACCTACGATCACTGGTCTAACTACGATATGCATACCTACAGATATCGGTCTAAATACGATAACTGTTTCTACTGTTAGCAGCCAAACTACGAGTATCGTTGGTACGGCTGATAGTCCGATGGCGATAACCGCACTTACAGTTACCGGTCCAACTACGATCCTCCTAGGTACAGTTATTAGGTCAAAACGGGTGTCGCGAAAAACAGCATTGTTAAGAAAATGAGCTTTTTATAAAGGTTGACGAAGTAAACTGGGGCCGAAGAGTCTGAATTCAAAGTCAGTCTTTGAAAATCTTAAACTGAAGTTTTTAGATTAAGTGAGTGTTTATTATGAGAGTAACTATTTCCTCGATGGATTTATGAAGAGAAATTCAACTTGACGTATTCGACTCTAATACTTAAGAAAACTATAACATTCATCAAGAAATCATTTTATTAATAATTGAAATGCAGAGCCTTGATAAATTGATATTATATTCGAGTCCCTGGAAACCGATTTACTTTCGTCACTCTTTACTAAGTATCAGCATCTTCTTCGAAACCCTTTCCTTAGCGTACAAAGTCAACTTAAACATTTTCAAAATTCGACCTCAGATTCCGATTTTCTGATCATGATCATCTTTCTTTAGCTTTCACAGGAATTCGTTAGTGTCTTAGAAAATACTGTGTTTCATGAAAGCCTTATATGACTGATAACTGTACCTATGATTATCATAATTGGTCCTGAAATCGTAGGTGCAGCTGTCTTAGTTGTAGCAATAACCGTACCAATGGTTCACGTAGTAAACCCGTAACCATACCTATGGTAATCGTCATCGTTGCATCACTAACATTAATAACGATAGTCGAAGCTATACTCCTTACTAGACGGCACTATAACACATAAAGCGTTTCTTTCATACTTAATTACCGTGATTCGATTAAGAAAATGGTCAGTGGAACCATGAAAACTTATCCCAAACTCCGATGTAACAGCATCAGTGATTGATGCAAGCATGCAGGTGTCTGAAAAATGGTCAAAATCGACCATATCAGTGGGCTCCTAATATTCTAACCTGCCATGTTCGCCTTAAACTCGAGAATTGAAACCGTATTCTTGATTTTGAGAATGTTGTTGTATACGAGACACTTTTACGCACGAATATAATCATCAGACTAACGAGGTGGTCGGTATAAAAATAAAAGCCTACGGTAGTGGCTGCTAGACGGACATTATCTGTTATCTTGAGCCTCAACTAGCCCATCAAATTCTTTGAATCGGCCATAACGATAGGTTTCCGCTCTTTAACTTCCATTGTTAGCTTTCATGTCGACGGTCAAAACTGTATAGCCGAGTGGGGGAATTATACCATCCCCAATCTTCCTTTTCGCCAACTAGCGAATATCAACTAGCTTTTCGCCCATTGGCGAATACACTATGGCGAAACCAAAATTTTATTGGCGAATTTCATGCTAGAGATTCGCCAAATTGGCGATTTTCATGATAGAGATTTGCTAATTGGCGAATATACTAACGAAAAATGGTCTGGGTGTAGGTGACTGGGTGTGGATGTGGGTGTAGGTGCGAGTCTGGATGTTGTATATGCGCTTGACCTATACTCATACCTACGCCCACACACACCCACATCCTGTAATACTTAAATATTGTATCATCCATTTAGTTGAATCATAATTCTACGGATTAAAATTGGCGAATTTCTCCATGACATTCGCCCATTGGCGAACATACTAAGGCAAAAATAACTATTTTTTGACGAATTTCATACTAGAGATTCGCCAATAGACGAATGTCATGGGAAAATTCGCCACTAGTGAGCGTACTGTTGGCGAACTTCCGAATAGGCGAACTTACAGAGCCACCTGAGTGTACGACAAGACTGATGATGAAAAATCTTTTCTAAGGTGTGCATGGCTACAAAGCTGATAATAGAATCAATAGGGTGACGAAAACCTACGGTGATGGTGACTAGATGGACACTGCTGGTTACTGTGAGCCTCAATGAAACTGTAAATGCTAGAAACCGTCTATCACCGTAGGTCTCCGCTCTAGTAACTGGCATTATGAGACTACATGGTGACGCTTAAAAGTATATAATTTATAGCGATGTATTATTATATATGAAAGTTTTTTCCCTAAATCAGTGTGATAGCGATGGCAGTTTTAGGACCGACATTATCACAGGAACCTACGGTGATGATGGTTGTAAGGGCATTACTGACTACCCTGAGCATCAATGAACTTGTCAAATGCTGCAAACCGGTCATCGCCGTAGATTCCCACTCTCTAAACAGCATTTTAAACTTTCACCATGATGTACAAAACTATATATTTGAGTACACGACGAAACAGCATGTGAAAAGTTTTTCCGAAGACTGTGTACGAAGCTCGTTATACGACTGATAGATTCACGAAATCATACGGTGATGATGACTAGATTGCCATTACTAGTTGCTCTGACCTTCAACGAGTCTGTGAAATACTAGAAGCTGCCTGCCACTGTAGGTCTCCGCTCTCCGAACCAACATGATTAGGATTAATAGTAATGCGTAAAAACATGTAATTGAGATCTGCTCACTATAGTAAATGAAAATTTTGTTCATCGATGAATGTGATAATCATGCCGGTTATGGGATCGATATGGCCAAGAAAACCTCCAGTGATGGACATTAAAAGCGTACTGCTGGTTATCCTAAGCTTTGAGGAGCCGGTAGAATGTTATAAACCGGCGATCACCGTAGGTTCCCGACATTCTAACAGCTGTTGTTGACGTGGCATACCTCATTTTTTTGTATAAGCATCTTTCATACCCAGATAGCCTCGCACTAACAAATATCACCTGAATGAGCATCTTGATGTTGTCTGACGTACACCTACGGTCAGCATCGTACTGAAGGAGCGGTCAGTATATAGAAACATTTTATTAAATTTGTGAAGTATGATCATAAATCACAGAAAGTAGAGGAATACCAAATATATGCGCACTTCTCGATTATGAGATGGTCAGCTTCATTTTTAATAAGATACACTTGAACTTGAGTAGCTATATCTGCAGTACATTGTGACCGGTGCTTACGGTGCTCATATACAGGTGGAACGGTGAACCGTAGACCGATCACACTGGTGACCACCGTCACCGTTGCATCCCTAGTTGCGACCCATCATTTCCTCTAGAATTTGGTGCTCTCTAAGATGGCTTTATTAGAAAAGAGCTCCAAAAAAGTTTTCTGTAACATGAAAACTTCCGTTTTCCATTTTTTAGAAGTTCAGCTATCAGAATTCATCCATGAAATCTTGTCATAGACAGCATTTAATATAGTATTTCATGCGCTATTCAAATCACTATTTGAATTTGATCTGGGAGCTCAGTAGTACAGAAAGAAAATCAAAAATATGTTGTTCTCAGCCTTTTTGCCACCACTACGTATGAATTGCACAGACTTTTCTGACAACCTGATACAATAGTATGCTCCTTGGCAATGAAGAATGTGATTTCACGAAAGAAAATAATCGAATAGAACTTTCGCAGAAAGTCAAGCTAATTTTCTTGATTTTCTGTTTATTTGATCTGCCTGAGATTCTTGAAGCAATGTCAAGATACTACTACAAATGTTAATAAAGCGATTGTTCACCATGTGTTGGGGCAGAGGGACTATCAGAGTGAAATAAATAAAGAGATGAGTGTTTAGCAGGCGCGCACAGGACGCTTAGACATCAGATAATTAGTCACATTAACAAGTCAGCGCATATTGCCTTCCTCTCACTTTATTATATAAGACAAATCGAAAGGTACAGGCGTCTGAGTTCTTATACAAACGGCGACAACAGCGTATGCTATGCAAGATAACGTGGGGTACAAAACTTTTCAGCGAGAGATCCTAGTATCTGTGTGGTATACTGAGGGTGAACCAGGTGGTGAGAAAATACCTGATGGAATAAGGTTGTGAAAGATTCAAAATTGATACGATCTCATGTCAAAAAAGAGAAAAGAAAGTTGGCTAACTGTTCGAGAAATGAAAAGAAAATACTTTGATCAAGAACGATGAAAGTATACCTACCTTCGTGTATGATCGCTAAAAGTAACTAACTCTAGACACTAAATGACGGCTCATAGAGACATTATTACGTGACTCACATAGTAGCGTCGGATAGAATTCGGCGAGAGGTGTCGATTGATACTAGAACCGACTCGAAAAACCTTTCGGGGATCTTACATTAACAAAAACAAAAGAAGTTTCCTGTAAAGTCAACAGCAAACACGAAGTATTAAGATGTATCGATGAACAAGTCATTTCATCTAATATAGCGTGTATTTTTAGGTGAAAAATCTATTTTCGGATCCGATGGAGATGACCCACGATGAACTGTTTTTCCTCCTTAGGCGAAATAATAGTTATGAATATCACAAAATCGTTATCGTGTCCCCGATTTTACGATTTAAATGTTTTTTTATTCTAAAAAAGTCTACCTTATTTCAGCGCCTTGTTTGTCTGACCACATCAATTTTCTTTTTACAGAATCACGATCATCTTTTAAGTGGCAAGTGCGATCAATTAACATGAAGTTTGTCTCCAAATATTTGGTCATTCTGATTGTATCTATCCAATGGTCATACAGTGAAGGAGTGACGTTTTCTGTCTCCACTTACGGTGCCTATCCAAACGATAATATTGATGATACACACGCAGTTCAGTTAGCCATCAAAATGGCTATTGCCAATGGATCAAACAATATTGTTGTATTTCAATCTGGTACATATAATTTTACATCAGTTATCTCAATAGAGTGCGCTGTCAATTTGACAATTATGGGACAAGGAATGCAACAAACACTTTTACTTGGAAATTCACCATCGGCGATGTTCAAACCATTTCATTGTCAAGGACTAACCATTACTTCATTAGCCATTGATTTCGATCCACTTCCATTTACTGCTGGATATGTGGTGAGTGCGAACACGAGCTATCTCGATGTCCAAGTAGTACCACCACACAAAGCTGATATTGGTCGACAAGTACACGCAATTCTTCAATATGATCCAGTAGAGATGAGACCAGCCTTTAGTCCAAACGCATATGAAATCTATCAGACACCACCGTCGAATGCGAACACTAGTTTGGTCTCACCTGGTATATTACGAATCCCTTTGGCATCTCCTTCAATATTTGTTGCGGGAGATCCAATTGTCGCTCGTTATACTTTTGCAAGGCATGCTATTGATGCTCAAGATGTAACAGATTTCACTGTTCAGTCGATAATAATCTATACAGCTTGGTGTATGGGCGTAGTCACACTACGGGCAAAACGTTTGAATATAATTGACTATCATGTAATACCGCGTGATGGACGTTGGATGAGTGCATCAGTAGACTGTATGCACTTTGCAGACAGTAGAGATTACATAAACATAGTCGACAGTAAATGTGAAGCACAAGGTGATGATGGATTGAATGTACATGGATTTTATTTCACTGTAGCACAGATAATCAATTCAACCGCATTGATTTTTGAAGAGTTTAATTGGTTTGATGTACTTAATGTCGGAGTTGGCACACATCTAGAATTTAGCAGCAGTCAACGACAATTCACAGTCTATGCAACAGCGACAGTAGCGTCGTCTTCAATCTATGGTCCAACTTCACGATTATTCACATTCACCAGCCCCATCAATGCAAGTGTCGGAGATTGGGCTTCTGTTGCTGATACACCAACATTGACTATTAGGAATTTGACTGTGGCTAATAATCGAGCACGTGGTGTTCTATTAAAGACACGAAATATTCAGATAACAGATTCATTATTCAATAGAACAAGTGGACCAGCAGTACTGTTTGAGCCATCAATGTATTGGTATGAAAGTGTTGCGGCACAAAATGTGACACTCAGTCGAAATGTCTATATCAGTTGCAATCAAGGCATTGCGAAACAAAAAGGAGTAATTTCTTTTGCACCTCTTCCCCGTCAATTAGTTCCAGTTTTCTCTGACGTTATTGTGGAGTCATCAACATTTCTATTTGGAGTATACGGTCAAGGTTTGATTCAAGGCAACAACGCAGCTAATGTATCAATCAGTGGAAACTATATAGCAATAAACAGCTCAATATCATTGATTTCAATCTGTAACAGTCAAAATATTTCTGCACATAACAACACCCTTGTCAATCATCAATTTACAGTTGATCCATTTTATTATGACAATGCAAATCCCTGTCAAACGAATTTCAGTCGTTTAATTGATTTGCCTCTATCAGGTTTTAACTCATCATTTCCTCCACCTGTAACGGTAACAAACTTAGGTGTTCAAGTTAACGTTCATGAAGCTGTTCCAAATGCGTGCAACGTTGTAAATCTTTCGAAGAATATTTCTAATAGTTGTTCACTATCAAACATCATCGGTTGAAATCCAGACATATTTGATTTATTGAAGTATGAGACACCTTTGATTCTATTGCTATGTTCGATGCTTTTGCACTACTTACACTTGAGTGTCTAATATTCATTAAAAATAATCTTAAACCACGGGTGTGGCTGTGTGAATTGGGGGAGGCTGCGGGTGCGGGTGTGAATGAGGGTATGGGTGTAGGTAGGTACGAATAGGAGAAAACGAAATCCGACACTCACACTTCCTCATTGTTTGATCACCACTATTTACTAAGTATTTATTTTTTCAGAAATGTGGATTACTTCAGCGACTAATTCTGGAAACTAGAATCTATGGCAAATGATAACTGACTAAACTTTTTGTGATTTACGTCACGTTATTTGAAAGTGAATATTTACTTTGTGCGACGAAATGAGTAGCAGCATCGCCTCTATTGGTCGTGCACACAAAGTTCGAACAAAAATGAATGCCTTAAAAATGAAATGGTGCCTATTGGCCAAGAAACAAATGTCAACAAGAAAATTGCCTGTTGAAACAAGGCTTACAATGCTGTCGTCATATAAAGATTTTCACTGCGTCTTATAAACACAAATGAAAGAGTCAACTATGACTGATATGTGTAGGAAAGCGGCCTATTTTTCAAATTAAATATTAGCACACCTGGATGGTGTGGGTGTGAGTGTGGCTGGGTGTGTGGGTGTGAAGTGTGGAATGTGGGTGGGGTGTGGGTGAGGTGTGGGGATGTGGGTGTGAGTGTGAGTGAGGTGTGTGGGTGAGGTGTGGGTGTGGGTGGGTGTGGATGTGAGGGTGTGGGTGTAACGTTTCTTTCTACCCATACTCACACCCACATCCAAATGGTTCCCGTCCTAACGCGATTGGTGTTGGCGATTTCAACAATGATCGTCTCTTTGATATAAAGGGTGAGCCAAAAGTCTTGGTCG